ATGCGATTTGAGTAAGGAACATAAATAGCATGAGTTAAGAAAAAAATATGTCTAGCATGAGGCGTCATAGGATGTATACGGAACAACTTAAAATTTTGCATGCATGTAGATATTAGATGATAGCGTTAATATGAAATGCAGCTGATCTGATACTGGAGCCAGGAGGTAGTCATGGGAAATAAATGCAACAAGCCCATCTACTTTGGAATAATATAATATCCAGAGCGTGATGATGCAATTAGAAGGTGTTATAGGGAACTTTGTGATTAAGTAACACAATTCGATTGAGTTTTAGCATCATCATCATCATCATCTTCAGCCCTTTTACGTCGCCACTGTTCAGGGGCTCAGGTCTTTCTTATAGATGGTTTAAGAGAATGGGCCATGACCCTCCACTCTGTAAATGCAGCCGCAACCTACGACTTAACGCACCTTCCGAAGCAGGTAGAAACTCAAGATAATATTTTTTTGTCACCCATCCCGTGACCGACCCTTGCGAAAGTTGCTTAACAACAACGATGGCGGGCCGCGGCGCTTATTCACAATGCCACCGAGCTGCTCTACTGTTGAGTTTGGACTCGTTTTGTTTGTCTGTACAACATCTCTGGTCCAAGATAGTACACATTAGCATAAGCACTAAAGTTATTTTTCCAAAGAAAATTCTAATTTTTAATTACACATCCATTCCTCCATTTATTGTGCAAAATGATGGACTTTCCGACTTTCATTAGTTTATCGCACTTCCTGATTCAGACATCATTACCTTTTACTTGTTATTATCTAATAATTAATGTGTTTTTACATAATAACAAACATCACCTGGTCACCTTACATTTCATTATTGGCACAAACAATAAATCTAACCCTTTCTGAGTAGTGAAATTGGCTCCAATAACGATGTCCGAGTTACGAAACGGAATATTCAAAGCACTTTGATATGATGCTGTAACAAGCCAATATTGTTACGTGTAAGAAATCGAATGCCAAAGGTCAGAAATATTAGGTGCTGTTATTTTTTTTACGGAACAAGAGTATACTCATTTTTTGGTTACCCATCGTAACGAAACACAACTCAAACTGAACGCACTAGCCACTGTTTCATCGAACTCTTTAATGTTGTACACGATTTTTACTCTAGTAATATAAACGGTTTAACCCCACGTTGGGCGCCAACGCCAGTGTCACAGTAGCTGTATTGCCATTCTTTTATAAAAACGGCCCAGAACTCATTGTTGAGCAGTTTTGTCACTGCGTAAAAGTTCAATTAAATAAATCAACTTCAAACGATAATAAAGGTCTTATTTCTTTGACCCTATATGCAATGACAACACTGTGCTGGAAGTCGAGATTGAAGCTGTTTTTTACAGAATAACATAGCCGAGCGGTTGTATTGGTCATAGATGTGAAACAATAATAGAAATGGAAATAAACTTGAATGCACGATTTATTAAGAGTCATAAAGGAAGACTGCAATAAATAAATATAAATAATGTAGGATATAAACTGTTGAGCAACACATGGCATGCATCAACGCATTTGTTACACTAGCGTACTCGTCTACCTATTTGACGTAAATACGTTTGCAATCAAACTCAGCCGTAAACTTTATGCGCTGCGGACATCGCTGTAGCTTGCATACCATATTTCATACCAACAAACTAATGCTCTACATAAAATCTGGCAATGCGGCTAATTTCCTTCTCCTGTTCTAATGAATGAAACATGCTACAACTTACTACCATTAAAAACTACCAAAAAATAGGCTATCGGTCAAAGCTTTCGATTGCTCACCGGAATAACTTTCTAGGTAAAAACAAAAACAGAACGGAAGTATTAGAAATCAATAACGGACCCTGCAATCATTTATGGTGTCCATTCCGATTGAATCGTTGATATGTATCATTGCTAACAGGACAAACTTCTGGATGTCACAGTTTCATTCTCAGACTGTGAATGATACTTATTCTATTTTTGGGGTTCTTTATTAAATGAAAAATCCGTGGTACCCTTAGGATCATTTTTGTTAATGTGTCTTGGTCAGTTCATCTGTTGCAATTAGAACCATTGGCACTGTTTCTGGGTACACACGGCTGCACGTTATGCCACTAGATTATGTCTTCGTTCAAGTAATTTTGTAATAATAATTGTTTATTTGCAAGAATATGGTACAAATAATATTATATAGTTATTTACAATAGTTTCTCACAGTATATGAAGTGTGGAAATTTTTTTGTATGTCATAAGTCATACATAACATGAAATACAGAGAATTTAAAGTTACAGTATAGATCATGTCAGTATGCTAAGGTTTGAAATCAAGTGGAGAAAGAAACATGCCCACCTTCCATACGTTGATTGACTTGTCACATGTTTTTTTAAAGGGTGTCTAAAATCGAAAAATAGACTCAGACGATGGTGGATGTTACAAATTCATCTAAAAAAATAAGATCATTTAATATCCAAGGAACATATAACATATAATTAAACTTACGACACACTGTACTCAAACGAGAATGTGATGTCACAGAATAATACAGTAGTGCACGCAATTGCTTGAATTCTCAGAGGTACTCTGAATGAAAATGACACGAAAACAAAATTATTGTGTCATATCATAGATGATGTTTAAATATTTTAAAACAACATTTTTTTTACATTTCCTACTAATATTGATAGGTAAAGTAAAGTTAATAATATTTTATTGTTATAATCGATATGTCTCAATAAAATATCAGTAATCCATATTTATAGATGTACAGAGTGGTAACTGTAAGTTTTACGTTAACGCGTTCACTAGTGAGTGCGTTATAAACAGAGGTCGGAATTAGGTAGAGTTCTTTATGTACTTGCATCAAAATGTTGATATTAATGTGGACCTTCCCGGGATTTCTTTATTTCTTCTTTCTTTATTTCTTTCTTTCATTGATGTAAGTTTGGCAACGTCGTGCGTGCAGTAGTTTAAATTGTGTAAAAGTAAATAACTTTTTATTTAAAAAATCACGAGATTTTTTCTGCTCTTTAAAATTAATCTCGGGATTTGAGGCATATCCACTTTATTCTTTCGCTGTATGAAATCAGTGTAAGTACATGAATAACTCTACCTAATTCCGACCACTAGTTATAAATTTGTAGTTCTTGATAATAACCGCTAGGGGCGCTGTGCTGGTTTACATACTAAAATCTTAATGCGCTTACGATCGAAGGTAAATGTAAAAGTTAAAAAACTTACACTAAGCGCTCAGAATGTATATTCAGAAGGTTTTTTTTTTGTTGTGATAATTGTCAAATGTGTATGTATGTACATAAATAATACAGTAAGGTTCCTATTTCTCATTTATAAAAAAAATCTCATTAAATAATATATTTCAGTTTCTGAATGAGAATGTATTCAAAAAATAAATATTAGTTCTTGAAATAATACAAGATGTCACTCGCGATGTTTGGATATTGTCTATGATATTCATCCTCTTTCTCTTTTATAAATGGCTTATCTGCGCGTTTCGCACAATTCTGCCAATGTCAAGTGAATAAATTAATTTCTACATGTAAAATGAAATTAATGAACGCTCGTATAGCTTCACTAGATTTGATGATCTAAAAGTAAATTGAGTATCAGCAAGGGTTGCTTTTAACTCTGTTTTATTTCACACAGAGAAGTCTTTTTGGAATGTACTCAATTAGGTTATGAAGTCTATTTCCACCACAATATCAAAAATAACAAGACATATATTTTTCGATTACTGATTAATATCACGGGTGCCAAGTCGTACATACTCATTGACAAATCAATAAATAATATTCATAATAAAAGAAAATGGACGAAATAAGTAGTCCAGTGCAGACTAGTTTAAAAAAAAATCTTAATTTCGAAAGGGCAACTTATTTGCACCTTGTACTTTGTAGAAACGTCAATCTAAACTAAAGTCATGTTGTTTTATACGAGTACATTGAATTTCAACGCGATATAGTATATTTGATACATTTCGAGTAAGTATATAAATAACAAACGGATTTTTACGAGTACATAATTATACCTTTTATTTATTCGTTTTTTATACCTTTGTTGCAGATTAATAAACCCTATTATTATATTAATTCCCACACATAATATAAAAACATCATTGAGATTTGATGTGCTTTTGTTGCTGTATATTTAACTAACAACTAATAGCAACAAAACTAACTTACCTATTTGTAATTGTTTACAAAACTTTTGTTAAGTATTACGAGTATAATGAAAAATGCCTAGACCTGCTTTGGCATAAGTATGTTATTTAATTTATAAAAACGATTTCACGGTAGTATTGTGTACCGTAGCTAACTGCTACTTTTAATAATTTCACAGCATTAATTCTATCGATTTCCATAACAAAAAAAAAACCTAATCAGATCAGATCAATAATAATATAGACAATTCTATTCTCTCCGATCTAACATCATGAATTGACTTTTAAATCCTAAAATTTGTGCTACAATCTAGTGACATAAATTTTTTTTAAATACTTCTTTATTGGAAAATATGACCACAATTTCGAAACCTTTTAAAGTAACTTTAAAGCGGGCTAAAAAACCGGTAAACAGAGTACACGTGAACCCGAGAACGAGAAGGAACATATCACATTCACACGTCTTAGGTGTTCTCGGGGCTTCATGGCCTGTGTCTGTACGGCCTATCAAATAGATTAGAAAATTAAGTTAGTCTCTCACATCTGTGAGCCCAGACCAGATGTTTTATTTATTTTCATTTTAAATTGCTCTAAAATGGCGTAAGTTTCAACAGTTATTTTCATAGCATTGTGAATGCACAATTGATCAAATATAATCATTATTAAGTAATATTAAATTCTTTTGAGTTTTAAATATATTCTACAAAAAAAGCAAATAAATTGTGTTTTTTCAATTAAATACAATTAATATTTGTCAAAACATCAAATCAGTCCGATATATTAATTGAAAAAAATCTAATAAATTCAATACTCGATGTTAATTGAATACTCTACGCTCTCATCCCTATGTCAAACATGGCGTCCTACTGACAGGGACGCGTAGAATTTTTGTTTCTCCAATTTGACTAAAATATACCACAATAATAATAACTAAGCATAGATACAACAGTCCGGGTAAGTTACATTTATAGATTGTTAAATCTATTCGACAATAACGATCACATCTCACTATTTAACCATACCATTCAACCGTATAGATTTTTTTAAAGTTTCACTTTAAACAACATAAATCTTCTCTGTAACTGAATCTAATTGTGACATGAAGAATTCCATGCAATAGATATATCGTCGTAAAAGATGTACATCCTTCGAGATATAGATTATTTAAACGAAGACATTCATTGTCACCACGGCTCTGTAAAGACTGTTTCATTATTTGTAATTTATTGAAATATAGTGCGAGTGTGATAAACCAAAGGTTCGTCATTAAAGTAAATTATATTACTTTTACGACCAACTTCTAAAAAGTAATGAGTCAGATGGAACCGTTGTGAATAATGATTGTATCATTCATTTATATTGTTAGTGTAATATGAAATTCATATTACATGTACTTCCTATAAACTGCAAACCTCACATATTGCAGGTTTGTGTCAAGGTCAACAAGAAACCTATTTAGTCCACTGTATTATCTTCACAGGTTGGACTTGTTATGGCAACACAAAACAGTTACAAACAAAACTCATCAATGTCGATGCCAAGTCCTCAGAACAATCCGCGTTTGTATTATTTTTTCATAATATTATAAATAGTCTAGAATTTAGAGTAGTAGTGTTTTGTAAAGTATATGATTGATATAGAACATAGAGCTTGGAACCTCTATGATAAAAATATTTACTGTAAAAAGAATAAATAGAATTCATGCATCAATTAAAGTATAGTGTTGTGATTGTTGTTTAGAATGTTAGATACTAACTTACTAAAATGCAATAATGCCAAGTATATGCCATTGCAAGCTTAGCAGGGCTGATTTCTTGGTAATGCTGGTATCTAACTGCGTTCAATCTTCAGCATGATTCCAACTATGCGCTTTTTCAAAAGTTTTGTAGTATAATGATCTTTTGTTTCCATTGATTTCAAATTTCCTTGCATTTATACTTACATTGTTCTCTTATGTTGGTTTTGTTTCATGTTTTGTTATGTTGAAACAGACTACATGATTGCGGGGCCCCCAATGAGTTTCGGTATGATGAAAGGTAATACAAATGTCTGATTATATTACTTTTTGTTTTCAAAATTGTTCTCACCCGCTCATCTGTTGTGGATCTAGGTATTCTGTGGGGATATATATTATTATGTTACAGCACAAATTTTTACTCGTTTCCACATCACAAGCCATATATTTTTTACTTTGCCATTTTTTTATTTCTATACTTTACTCTTTTATTTTCTTTAACTATGCTATTTTGAGCCTACTAAATTATTTTACGCTGATACTTACCGCTCGCTGTACTAAATTTCTTTTTAACATTTACATAAAATTATATTAGTTGCATATTTGTTTATCTTTTGTTTGCCCTCGCCCGTATCCTGTCCTATCCCTTATGCTTTTGTTTTTTCTTTCATTGTATTGCCGCCCCGCTGCTTGGCTTGAAGGCGGTATGAATGCACCGCCGCCGCACCATAACCAATACCACTACCACCCGCAATACCAGGGTGGTCAGATGGGCCACCCAGGTGGGTACGGAGGGTGGCCACAGAGCCAACCGCAACAGCCACGTTTCGGTGCAGAGAGCGCGCGGCGCACCGCCACAGGTGGCTCCGGCGGAGGCCAGTCGGCCCAGTCTGGGAAGGATGATAAAACAAGCCCGTTTGTGTCTACCTTACACTCGCATCCTGGATTCCAACCGCAGAAGATTGGCAAAGGCGCTGGTGCAGTAAGTATTGAAGATTTTTTTCCAATTTTTTTATTCATTTTTCATCTCTATCTGCAATCAGTCTAGACTTTCTAGGCATCAATCAACTACACTAACTCCCATCAATGTTGTTCTATTATTATCATTATTATTTTGTTAAACATGAGAGATAGTCAAATAATTTTTTGATTGACATGAATCATATCAACATAATACAGTATCCTGATTTTGTTGATATAATTCATCATCATTACTAGTCCGTTAATGCTTGTGATAATTAATTATTTATCTCCCATCCTATGACACACCCTCCTGGACTTCCACATTGTAGAATTAATGCATTTACCACAGCTCCAAGCTATTCCTCATATAATGGGGGCTTACAATTTAGTTACAAATATTTTAAGATGTGACATGTTTCATTAAAATAATTAAGTTCAAATAGAAATTGAGAAAACTTCTTATACCATTTATCTTATACCGAACAAAAATACATTATGTGTCCATCTAAAAATAATCCTCATGTGTATATATAACAAGACATTGAACACTAACATACAAATAGCATCATATTGATATTCAAGTATTCATCAACATAAAGTGGCCCCTTAACAGTAAGTGAAAAGAGGTACAAGAATCAAGAATCATCTCATATAGATCTTAATTATCTCATTAACAGAATGTTTTACATAGCAAAGGATAATAGTTTTTCCAAAAAACATTATAAAACCTATAATATATTCAGAGAGCTGAGTTGTCTCAACTTTAAAAAATATGTGTACCTAATATTTTACCACCAAATTGGTATGAAGAAGTACAAAGCAACTACAAAGTGTTATACTATGAATGTTTCAGGGCGCCGGCCTACCAAAACCACCGAAGCCACCAGAAAAACCTTTAATGCCATACATGAGATACTCCCGCCGAGTGTGGGACAGTGTGAAGGCTGCACATCCTTACATGAAACTCTGGGAGATAGGTAGAATCATCGGTGGCATGTGGAGGGACTTGCCCGAATCAGAGAAAGCTGGATTTGTTGACGAATATGAAGCAGAGAAGGTAATGTTTTAAATTTTGCTTACTTGTTCTACTTTTGACAATGATTTTACTTAAGATTTTCAATTTAATATCAGATAATTAGGGATTTGGAAATGTGACAATTACATTTTTTTGTTAATGAAGAATAAGTAAAAATATATTTTAACAAATTTTATGAAATTAGGCATAAATATTTAAGAAATATTTTGGGCTCAGGCGCAGTATACAGAAATGTTGAAAGCTTACCAATCGTCGCCTGCGTACATTCAATGGCTGGCACACAAAACCAGAGGTACACCGTAATTAAGACTATGTTTGTGAAATATGGGAACAAATTGTGTATAACCATGCCTTCATCACCAGCTTGATTTAACACGGTGTTATGGAACTATGTATAATCCTAAACCACAAAACCTTACCATGTACTGTGTATACTTTTAAGTCACTGTATAGCCACTGCACAAAAAGTTGATATTGATAATTATTGATCCATTTCATATTCAATAGAAAGACAGGTATTGTCAAATCATATATTAGTATGTTGAGACGTTCCGCGGCTGAACCGACGCGACGCGTCTTCCGTCGGATATGTTTTGCTCCTCAGTTGCTCTCTTAACTTTTAATTCAGCAAATTGTCTTTCAGATAGTGCATCACTGTCCAAAACCCTATAATTAAAGTAGTAATAACATCTAAACGCTTTAGAACATAACCACGTCTTTGTTTAAAATTATTTAAAAAATTATGCAGCTCATGAGAATCCTTGGCACCTGTACCTACATTGATTGCGTAAGAAATAAAAAGGCATAAATCTTTCTCTCACCCTTTTCTGTTGCAAACAGTCGTGTTTAAATAAATGAAAAAGTTACGTCAGCTAACTGTAAGGTCAGTGATGACTTCCTTCAGTGGTCTTTGATGCGCAAATAGCGACATTATAAAATATGGGAATATTTAAAACATTTAGTCTAGACATAAACCTAGCATCTTGCAATACTTATCTGTGTAAGAACGTAAGATTTTCCATCTGATATCCTATCAGATACACTCTGTCAACCCAGCTGTATGGCTCTAGCTGCTCACTATTCAAGTGTCTTCATAACATGCAATATTTTTGGCTCCTTTTTGTAATGGAATACAACATAGATGTTGAAATTTTCAATAAACACCAAATTGTCTCTTAAATCTCCCAAAATATTATAACTAAATATTGATACGTATGTCACATTTAATTTCCATTATTTACAATTTTTTATCAAATTATATTTCAAAAACTTGTATGGCCTTAATGCTACTTAAATATCAAAAGAGAAGCGCAAAGGCGATAAATGCCTTAACTTGACTACTGACTGCGTACCATTAGGTTTTTTAATCAGCATTTCTTTGTGACAGAAAGAGATATTGGCAGATATTGTATATAAACTAGATTCAACTTAATGAAAACAAAATAAATATACCTCACTAATGACGAAGCCTAAACATATTAGTACCACATCCCTGTGACTAACCCGGACATATATCTAACGCTAATTTTGTCGTCCACATGCACCACACCATGTTAATATGCACTATGGGGCACATCATTTGCGTTTGGGCAGTCGGAGTACGAAAAGAGCTTGAAGGCGTACCATAATTCGCCTGCCTACTTGGCGTATGTGGCGGCGAAAAATAAGGCAGTAGGTAAGGCATTAGTGGTTCGCTTTTCTACGTGGCTGCTTCTAACCATCATTTGGTGATTTTCATTAAAATTGCGGAAGGATCCGTTTCACTTATCATCGGCACACTCTGCACTTGCACATAACATGCCTTCGGTGCTGCTAACGTTAACATAATAATAGCATCGCAATGACGTTCAACGGTGGCAAATGTTTATTTGTATTAATTTTTACATTGCCACACTTTCTTGCGACTTGGGGTTGCCATTTTGTAAATGTTGGACTTCGCCTTGTTTGAGCGTTATATTTTTTATAGCAAAGTCGTTTCTCTGCCTCGCAGAAGTTTACAGAAGCCTGAACATTTCACCAGACACGGGCCGTAAAAAGGCGGAATATGCCTTGATTAGGCTTGATTTCTTCCTATGCTGACATAGGTCGAGTTTACAAGTAAACTAATGCAGAGCGTCACTTATATGCGTAGTAAGTGTTGTCATAAAAATTACGTTTCACCCTACGCGTGATCGATCTATACTAATAAAGAAAGAAATGAGCCTAGCTAAACAGATACCCTAGGCTCAATACAATGGCATCTTATTGAATAAATTTTAACAAATATCTTTAATTTGTATTTGAGTTACAAAATTGGTGACAAAAAGAAAGTTAAAACACCATTGGCTTGCCATAATTATGTTAACGCTAGCTATTGGGGCCTCCGTCATATTTATTGTTTTCAAATTTACCGTGTAATTCGTATGATCAGGACTTAAAGTCTTGACTGAAATACTTGAAAAATAATTTTTTATATGGACACTGCTTATTTCAAGAAATGGGGGAAATGTTATATAGATTCTGGAACTTTAATTCTGGATTGGAAGATGATATGTTTTAATGATAATATTCAATCATTTATATATTTTCATAGTATTAATTAGACTCATTCTTCGTCCCTGTGTTTCTTGTTTCTGTTTGACACTTGGCCATCGGAGCTACTCCAAAGTTGCGGAACTAATATCATTACAAAATCAAAGTCCATACGTTGATTTTTACAATTTTGATTTATGAAGAATTTGAGAAGCTTCGTATGATAAGGGTATTAGGCTTTAAAGTATCAAAATATGAAACGGATTTTCGGTATGCTATTACCTATGCGAAACCGAGCCGGGTTGCTAATAAAGACTATTATGAATTTATAAAAGGCTAAATATTAATATTACAACATGTAATTTTCAAACCATAATATAGTTCTTTTTCTTTCCTCATTCTAGTTCTGTTCAATCATGTCTCAACCATTATAAAAACGGCCTTCTTTGCTTTCTAGATCTAAATACATGTATCAATAATCGTCAGTACGTCTTAATACAATAATCATAAGGATAGATTATGTACATCGCAATTTAATACATTTTGCCGTAGTAATAAAAATAATAGATCTATAATTTCCTAAAATAAATGAATATTATTATTATACCTGAAAGCAATCAAGCCGAATTTATTGTAATTTATATAGACAAAAGTTGTCTTTCTTAAATTTTACTAATTCTATTGACATTATGTGTATCTTGTCAATATAATTTTGATAAAAATTAAGTAGAAAGTAAGTGTCATGGTTTATGTCCATAAGATATAATAATGGATCTGGTCAGCAGTAGGTAACTTGGAAGAGGAGAGCTCTGGCAAGAAGGGAAGCTCACAGAAGGAGCAACAGCAACAAGACAGGAGGATCGATATACAACCAGCTGAAGATGAAGAAGGTAATATGTTTATGTATATACAAAGCTTTACACTTATTGATAGTTTGTACAATGGAGCCAAAACCAATTCCGTTCTTACGTCTCATACGGCGCGAGTGATAAGGACTAATGTGCGCTTAGTCTTATTGTACTTAATGATGTTTTTTGATTGTGTAGATCAAGACGAGGGTTTATCAGTGAAACACGTTTCGTACGCTCGGTACTTGCGCAACCATCGTCTCATCAACGAGATATTCTCGGACACGGTCGTGCCGGACGTACGGTCCGTCGTTACCACCGCACGGATGCAAGTAAGTAGCTTTAAAATATCATTATCAATATGTAAAATTAAAAAAAAAGTTATTTGAAGAAATTGGAAATTAGTGAAATTTTCTCATATCGAAAAAATTTTACTGTCACACTTAGAAAAATGGTGTAGCTTTCACATTTCTTCTTATTACAAAATTTAAACTCGGTTATTTTTATTGTACACGTCCTCTTGAGCCTTGTATCCAACAGATGCTTTGTAGCATAATACGGGATGCACAACAAAGTGAGGAAGATGAACGGTTCTGCTAGATCTTGCAGCAGACACTTCCAGCTAGAACTTCTGCATGATAATGCAGAAGATAGTTTGTCAGTATGTAAATCATTTGCAGAAGATACTTTGTCAGTATGTAAATCATTTGCAGAAGATACTTTGTCATTATGTACATTGCAATTGAATACATTTTCCTTTTCCATTATGTGTCAAATGTAGTATAGTAGATACAAGTCTTTATCCTTTAAATTTTTTTACAGATCCTTAAGAAACAAGTGCACTCTCTAACTATGCACCAGAAAAAACTAGAAGATGAACTGCAACAAATTGAAGAGAAATTCGAAGCCAAGAAACGGAAGTTCATTGAGAGCAGTGAAGCATTCCAGGAGGAATTAAAGAAGGTATGTAATCAATATAATGAGACTTTTTATTTGTCATCTATCGGCCGGTTTCTGAATTAAGAAAAGTACTAAATCTCAACTGATTATTCCCAATAACTTAAATTTTTTCCGTTTCATAGTCCTAGTTTTATCTAAACTGCTATCGACTGACCTTTGAAAAATATTAAAATCAGAAGTAAAAGCCAGTTTAAATGACGTTTGAGAAGGTTTAAGAATGGTGTGAGACATGTTTAAATTCTCAATTCAGAATGAATGAATTCAGGATGAATGTGTGCCCACTAGTTCTATATTACCACACAATTGACATTACCACAACACACGGCAATAATTAAATTAATTTATATATATAAAAATGTATTTGTCTTTGATAATCACAGTTTAAAATAGAAGAAAATACCAATTTAAAGAATATTAGTTGCTTACTATACAATTTGATATTTTTTATCAATAATATTTTTCGAAATGTTAAAGCAAAATTGAACAAATATAATATTATATAGTATTGTATAAAATAAAAAAAATTGTCCGTATAAACAGCATTGCAAACCGGCTGTAGACGACGACACCTTCCAGCGAATGGTGGAACGCGCTCTAGAACAAATGAGACGCGGCATCAACCCCGCCACGCAGCCGTTGTCGCTCAATGTCGCTGAGAGGAAGGACGAGGTTTGTTACATTATAATACCCGCGAGTTGCTAATGCGTCGGGCGGCCATTTTGGTGACGTCATTGTGTTCAACATTCGGTACCGTTGACAAATAAAGACTGGATGAAGAGTTGGTTTGTGTTAAGAACACACAATTTTTTTTTCTGTTGTTTCATATTGTTATAAGTTTTGTTGTTTCCTATTATATTTGACTAAATTAGCAACTACTATTATGATTACTACAATAAGTGAACTTGATTCTATTGAAAATGTCTCTCATTTCATATTTGGCGATGTGGTAAAAAATCTTCATTTCCTTTTGTTATCATGTTATTACAAAGTAAATGATAAATTTGTCATATGTTTTTGAAATACCCCAATATTAAAATATAAATTAGATTTTTGCCATGAAACATGCCAGCTTATTCGAATTATTTCAATATGTTGATTTCGACACTAAACAGTAAGCTGTAGATAATAAATATTTACCTTATAGAAAAACGTTTTAAAAAATTGGTGAACCCAGATTCTCAAAATTATGCAAGCAAAAGTAACAATATATAAAATAGATATTTTGATTTCAAGTCATAATAAATTCACTAAATAGATGTATGTATAAGTTCTAAAATAAATAAATTTCTTTCAGCCAATGGAAACTGAACAGGTTCAGATAAAAAGCGAGACGAATGGTCCTAACCCACCAACACAAGTGGACAAAGTATCCACCACCGATGTGAAACCAGACGGAAGCGTCACAACTGAACTGAACAAGACAGATGACAATAAGAAAGAGCAAGAGAACCCTGAAGAAGGTATTTTTTACACACAATATAATAAATTTAGTAAATAATAAAAGAAATATTACTCTGTAAAATATTTATAGGACAGTTCTAATTTTACTTAAAAGCCAAAATATTTGGTGTTGAAGATATTATAAGATATTAGAGCCAATCTCGCGCGTATAATAAATCTTGCCATGGGTGAAGGAATTTTTAAAATTGGTCGATTTGTCCTCTTTATAATAAGAAATATGTAGATTTCTTCGATATCTGGAATAATAGATAAGAAAATGTCATTTTTAACAAATAACAGTAGTTTTATTTTTATTGTGATGAGATAGATTCTTCTTTTATTTTATACTAGCTGTCCCGCGACTTCGCACGTGTAAGTTATAGCCTATGTCGACCCTGTACAGCTATCTGTACTTGAAAGAATTTTTAAAATCGGTCTAGTAGTTTCGGGAGCCTATTCGATGCAAACAAACAAACAATCAAATCTTTCCTCTTAATAATATTAGTATAGATTGACAGGTTTTTTTTCTAAGAGAATGGTGTTTTACTGCTATTGAGGCCACACTAAGTATATTATCTGATTTTCCAATTTATTACTTCGATTGGATGATTCATGTACGGATATACAGATTTTTTTGTGGAAGATTGGAGATTTTATAAAAAGTTACAATTTTCTAGTAAAATAGGAGATATTATAAAAATTGACATAGTAAAACTTGGGTAAAAACAAAATGAGCCTTGGTTAAACTTTTATTTTGTTGGATATCTGTTAATTCCATTTGGATATAAGTAAGTCGCGAAGAAGAAATAAATAAGGCTTTCAATAATTTTTTTCCAAAAATTAGAACTGACTTCAAGCATTAAAAAATTATACTTAACTGCTAAATATTGAAATTGAATATTTTGAGGACGGTTTAAAAGGGTCGCTTTTGAAATGCCTGAAAATGACTTAATAAGAACATTTAGGCTCACCCTTCGATTAAAACAAAAAGGGAAGATACGGCATGCTCATAGTTGCATTGACCAAAAAAAGTACTGATGAAAATTACTTATGTAAACTCACTCACACGTTTGCACAGTATTAGTAAAGACAAGATACAATTATAATTTCCAACTATAGCGTGAGCGAGACAGGAACTCGCATTATCAGTATCGGTTAAAAATGTGTTTAAACACCACGGTAGCATACAAATTAGTTTTACTGGCAACTGTATTGGTTTTCGATCGATGAGTTGTTTGTTGCATTGGGTTTTGATGCTATCGAGTTGAAGTTCTATTGCAGTGCATCCGAGTTTATAAACTTCAGCGTTACTTGTATTGTTCATAGTTACGAGAATTGGGCTACTGGTCTTCTACCACAGATGATTTGCTCTGAAACTAATTAGGCAGATAATGTAACGTAACTTTAAAAATGTGGGCTCAATTTTCTAAATTAGTTTTTTAGCGTTTAAATATTTTTGCTACTGAAACAGAGATATAGCAACTACCGCCGCTTTCTCTAAGAAACACGTTTTATCCCTTATTCTATAAATTGTGAAGGTAAAAAAAATATGTAAAAAAGCTTATTATTTATACTTAATTCGATGATACTCTACTACATGCTATTGGTTTATTAGGTGAACGCAAGGAGGAAAACAGGATAGAGAAGGTGGAGAACAAGGAGCCGGCCGCACCTCATCCACCGGTACAACACGTTGCATCACCACCACATCACCGTTAGTACTATATCTGTATTTTAATTTGAACTTTAACATCTTAAGAATTTAGTTCGATCCAATGGCATTTTTGTGGTAACTCTCTTTTGAAAGTATAAGTCTGACGAATTAAGATTACACCTGGCTAGAATGACGTTTGTGCAATGTCATTTCAAACTTATTAATATACTTAATAAAATAAAAAACTTTATAATAAATAAAACGTTTATATGGAGACTCCAAAATACATACGGTAGGAAGCTCCGCTCTTTCATATTAGAAAAATTGTACAGTATTTTTTTGGAATTATTCCAATTTCATAAAAAAAAACAGATAAACCATTTAAAACAAAAAAGGAATTAAATATTGAAAAAAAAAATGCAATTGAGTAAACTAGAATTAGTGCACTATCCAACTATTTTAGCCCCGCTGTGGTGTGACCGAACATTGTGGTGTTATATTATATATAATGGAAATTTTAACCAAGAAAAGTGAAGAAATGAATTATTATTGCAGCTATGATGATGCCTCCGAATCCTAATGCTCCTCCGGCACATCCAGGACCACCGCACGCCGGTCCACCGCCGCCGCCAGGTAAACTATACCATAATTTACTATACCATATCATATAATATACCATATTAATCTTCGACGTAAACAGAATAGGCTATAGAAGAAAACAAAAACATCACCTGATTTATGAATTCAGTATTTAAAGTTAAACACCTCTCAAACTGTACTTAAGCATCGCTTGAATAGGTTTTAGTGTCTAATTTTAGTTGTTTCTTAAATTCTCATCAGCAGTTTGTAAACTAAAAATTAGCACTTTTTGCCTTGAGAAAAGTAAAAAAAATTAGTTGTAATTTCGTACTTTTCTCAACTAGTCTGATAGTCTATGAAGTTATTTAAGGCACATTTTTGTCACGAGTTCTCTTTCATATGGCACAAACACACCGTCTCGGATTTTTTTAAATTGTGTTGAGAGTGCCATATTCAATGTTACTTTTACTTACTTACAGTGCCCGGCACGAAAGTAAACCCTGCGCAGTAAACGAAAATAGATATCGATGGAGGTGAGGTGTGCGGGGGGAGAAGCTTAACCATAGCAACAGGGCCTAGTGTCATCGCTTGACGTTTCCCTACAAATTCACTTCCCCCCATTTGCAAATGCACTTTTTCATTTATAAGTACACTCAAGAAAAAAAGTGACTTATTATATACAGAAAATTTTTCCTTGTGAAACTTTTCGTCTTTGGATTTTACACATTAATGTATTATATCATTAAAAACCATCAACTATAGTGTACAAACATAATACATTTGTTACTTATTTACTATACGAACACTCCCATTATTATTATAAATATTGTAGTGTAATTTGTAATATGTAAATGTTGTAAATCGGTAAATGGTGGTGTTTTAATAAAGATTTTTTTATTTCTTATTTGGTTTACAAATATTATTTATTTAAAAATAAGTGTTTTACGCTTTTAATTTTTACCCCGATTATACCTGCGCAGTGGACGCCATAATAGGTTTACTTTCTTGGCTAAATGCACAAGCCGTGCGAAGCCAGAAACAAAAAAAAAGGTTTACTTTCGTGCCGGGCACTGTACCATTAATTTAATAAGTCTTCTGTCCCTTACTTGAGTTTCATGTGATTTTTCCCATAATGAATGAATCATAAATAATGAGTGAAAATATTGGTCACAAAAATTACTGAAACGTACACTACACTGAATACATAAAAAAAACCTTTGAGTACAGCAGTTTTATTTATAGAGTGGATGGTCCACGGCAAGATAGATATTTGTCAAATGATCCGTAATAATTTAAACGTTTAAGGCGGCTCTACGTTACGACGAAACTACTTTCATCGCGTTAATCGCACGCATAATCGTCCGCTTTGGCAATGCATGCGTTAATTTCACGACACCAAAGTTGTTTCGTGCGATTAGCGTAATTTAAGTGAAAGATATTTCACGCAACTAATTTCATCTCGATTCGCATGGTCGGGTCACCATCTGCGTATAAAGTAAAGCTTTCAATGATGCTGCATCACACGAGTACTTTCACATGGGCCAAAATTACTTTCGTGATACTACTTTGATTCGGCATAATGGATGCTTTACACACAATTATTCTAAATTTAAATTCAAATCAGCTGTTAATAAATGGAATGATATATACGAGTAATAAGCAGGAGTTACCTTATATTTTTACTATTAACATTTATTGGTGTTTACACCTACCTAGATATGATTGCAGACTATGTTGTGGACTTTGTACCGACCGTGCTTCGTTTAGAACTTTCCTACTAACAGAGGTACGGTGGTGGTGTGTAGAGTGACGTGCGGCCGTGTGTTAATCACTTAAAATTATGTTAAAAACCTACTTATCTACTTTAAAAATTTTATTATTTTGTTATGCTGGGACAAATGAATATATTTTATTATATTCAACAATATTAAAATACGAACTTCATTATTCTAAATATAGTTCTATAACTTACCTGTCGTTAGGGACCGTTTAGCAATTTTCTATCCGGCCATGGACCACTTGATGTATTATTTAATACTCAAATGTAGATAAAGAATAATTTTATTACATGTATATAAATTTAAATCTTCGCTTCATGGACCATTTGGGACGCTTCCACAGACTAGCAGTGGTCCGGGGACCAGCTTATAAAGTTAAGAACCACAAACTCACTCCAATCTTTCTTATGGCTGATTTAGGTGCGTGTAAATCAGCCATAAGGGTGATTACGCTGTAAATGTTGGGTGTGCGTTTGCTCAGGTGGTTACGGCGGAGCGTACGGTGGCCGGTACTACGGGGGTTATCAGGCCGGGTTCCCGCCCTCCTACCCGCCGCACTACTACCCCGGCGGGCCCGCCCCCGGCCCCGACCACTACCACCACGCGCCCCAGCACATGCCCCCCGGCTCGAACGCCCCCGCCGCCCCACCGTCACACCACGACCCCAAACGTGAGTCTAGCGTAACGTACACAATCTTTTTATATCGTTCACTAGTTGTCGCCCCATAAATTGGTCACTTGACGGCATATTTTAAAAATTTCATATTATAATCATTATTTTATCCTTTTACTGTTGCGATATATTGTGAACATGCTGTTTTTAGACAGTCAGTCAGTCAAATATATAGTATTAACATAAACGCCTTTATTAATAACTAGCTTTTGCCCGCGACTTCGTCCGCGTGGTAAAGTTACTTTGAGCAGCATTTCAAACGAATTTATTCATATCGTGTTAAATACCTGAAATAAAATTCCATCCCCTATTTTATCCCCTTAGGGGTTGAATTTATGAAAATCCTTTCTAAGGGGATGCCTACGTTATAGTAGCTTTATGCATGCCAAGTCTCAGCCCGATCGGTTTAAAATTGACAAAGTTTCATACAAACTTTCGTCCCATATTTTATCCCCTTGGACGTAGAATTGTTCAAAATCCTTTCTTAGCGGATGCCTACGTCCTAACATCTACCTGCATGCCAAATTTGAGCACGATCCGTCCAATGGTTTTGGTTGTGCGTTGATAGATCACAGTCAGTCACCTTTGTTTTATATATATATTTAACCTTCTGATTACTCTTATCTGAAGTAAAAGGAATTCCTATTAGGAGTATTGAGAACTTCATAAAATAATGGAAAAAACATGTTTTTATACATTAATCTAAATTGTAACGCGAACAATTCGAGCTGTGACGTCACATTTCGTAACAAAAACGTTCACACATGTTGACGTCACACGGCGCTCCGTATTAAGTTAATTTTTCGAAATGAAATATACTTAATATTTATTTTAAACCAAAAATACTACATAGTTATTAAATTCACCATAACCAATATAGGTATATCAATTATGAATACTTATTGTTTTAACTGTCAAGTGGCCAATTATATCCGCATACGACGTAGCTTCCCATTAATCAGATAAGTGCTTCAAAAGATCGCCCCCTATAAACAAAGTTTGAAATTTTTACCTCTTTATAATATTATAGATAATCATTACTAATACACTCTAGCTCTAGGTAGCTCGGTGGCGTAGTGGATAACCGCCGCGGCCCACGATCGTAGTCGTTAAGCAACTTTCGCAAAGGTCGGTCACGGGATGGGTGACCAAAAAATTATTATCTCGAGCTACTCCGTACTTCGGAAGGCACGTTAAGCCGCTGGTCCCGGCTGCATTTGCAGTCGTTAATACCCTTCAATCCGCATTGGGCCAGCGTGGAGGATCATGGCCCATCCTCCTTAACCATCTTAATAAGGAAGGCCTGAGCCCCTGCAGTGGGGACGTAAAAAGGGCTGGTGATGGTGTGGTGTGCTGGTGAATACACTCTATAAAGGGTCTGCTTGTATCCAAACTAAATGACTTTCCTTTAATATCGCTGAATATTAAGTCTAAATTCGTTATCAAACCATGTAGTTGCCATGATAGATTATTTTAATTATATATATATATATATATATATATATATTTTTTTTTTTTTTGTTGTAACTCGTGATTTTTAAAATTAATCGTATTTATATTTTAACAGCGGATGAGCCACCTGCTAAAAAGGAATCTGAATGATTATCGCCGAAACGCGTCGTCAAACGACGGCGCAAGTCCTCGTCGAAGGACGCCCAATGAGCGCGTCCGCGTTTTAACCGTCTGCTCTTATAAGACATATTTTTCCATATGAAGTGCTACTACGGACATCATACATTTTTAAGTGAAAATGGTCTGCATGTGTGTTCTGCAATAAGGATGATGCCCAGGTAAAAAAAAAACTATTTAGTCCATCAGTCTGATCACAGAAAAATATTAGATATGTATTATTTTTACTAAGTTCAACAAGAAACAGCTTATACAGAGTACAAATAGTAAGTTCTAAATTTAATAACATTCACATGCACCTTGATAGGCATGTCAATATAGAAAGATAGATAGGTCAGATTTATTTGGGAGCTAGCTACGTCCGTTTTGTAGAAAATGTACAAAGCGTTATGTGACATTTCAACTCAATGTTTCACCGTAATTTAATATTTACGAAAAAAAATACCTACTTGTTTAATATTTTTCTACAATCAACCTAATGGACAAACAAAAAAAAATTTTGTCTTCATCCCTATTGCAGAGTTTAAGATGCATTTTCAAAAGCTGGTCATCGGATGAGTGACAAAAAATTTAATATCCTCTTTAAAACTGTTAGTTACGGGCCGTTCTTGCCTCTCTTCCGCGAGGAAGGCCTGTGAGGCATAGGCTGATGATGATGTTAGAAGTATATTTGTTAAAATCAATAAATATTGTTAGTGATAGATATATGTAGTGGGCTTCTTTTATAGATTATAATTATAGATAGCATTAATATTAGTCTAGGGAATAATAATGGCACTTGGTGAATGTTCTCTTGCGCATAACATTTTCCACTTCAGACAATCAATGAAGGTACTATTAAAATTTCAATAATCATAATGTGTATAAAACAATGCATTAAGTTTCTATCTCGCTCATACTCGGCGAGGGTCAGCTTGGATCTTTGTGATACTTTAATATTTTTTTTTACATTCAGTAATTTAGTATTCTGCGCAAGTACTTCAATGAGCCACAAGTTTTATTTTACTGTAATGATATTGTTAATTTGGCACCTCTTCTCATTCTAACTGGTCAATCAGTCTAAAATTTTTAATGTGTTCTGTAAGTCCATGTAGTTAGAAATTGGTAATTCGAAATTTGGCTGAATTTTGTAAATAACAATATGTAATAGAGTCGACAGAATTATAGTTGAAGCAAAGTAGTCATTAAAAGATAGATATAAGTTACAACAGCCAACCTTTTATTATATTTATTTTTAATTATTTATGTCTTCACAATAACATAATTTAGAAATAATGTGAAATGTATTTTATTAACGACAAAAAGTTTTAGCAACAACATTAACATTTTAATGAGATTTGTGGTACTGGGAACACTACTTAATACCTAGTACTGGTTAGTTAAAAATGTGTAACTTCAAATGGGCTAGTAACAAGGTGCCTGGCCACAGGTTGAGTATTGCCAAGTTAGAATGTGAATAAACTTAAATTATAAAACGAGCACTATTTTAGGTAAATATTTTATTGATACATAAATGACATAAAAACTGACTATAAAGAATATATAGCATGAATTATACTTGATTTAGATAACTATATTATAATTAATATCCGGTAATATTCTGTAAAATATAAGTTTTATCTATTTTTATCAGTTTGTATTCTGTTACTATTCTTTCCAAACTGTATTATTATTGGTCGACCATTCAGTATAGTGCCGTTGACCTCTTCAAGAGCCCGTACTGCTAGTGCTTCATCTGAAATGTAAAATAAATTAATTAAGAAATATCCTTGTTTATTTTTATTTTATACTAATTTTTTTAAATACATAGACAAATGCATTATACCTATCTAATAAATACACACATATTATTTTAAATGTTTTATCAAAATATAATCCAAGACAATTCACTCACTTTGAAAAGCTACAAAAGCTTGCCCTCTCATGCGTCCAGACATCAATCTAACGTCTATGGGACCACCATTATCTTGTGCAAAGCGTTTAAACAATAACGAAAGTCTGTCTTGTGTTAATGATGGCGCAATATTCTTCAGATACAAAACCTGTAGAGAAAAGTTGAAATTAAATTATCTCTTGTTTATTATTAGATTTAGTAAGTTTTGCATTCACAATGCCAGATCAATATTTATAATGTAGAAAAAATACTTCTAATCCTGATTTCTAAGATGAGATTCATTTCTATTATCCTTTTTGCAGAGGAAATCTATTAGAGTAGTTATTTAGAGGTACTTATTAACCTTTTTCTGTGGGACTATTCTATCCAATGTTGACCTGAGTACATAACAATACAGAAGTTCAAATACAGAAGTATAGTATAGAATATGGAGTGTCAACTAAGGTATAGCTCTAAGTAGAAATTTCCACCAACTCTTTGCAGACTTTATTTCTCTTTATAAGAATATTTTCTTATACACTCTTAAACACATACAGTCAGTTGCAAAAACATCCATTAAAATTTAATGAAGACAGCCATAATTAATGTGGTAAATTTGAAAACTTGTATTGGTAATGTAGCATTAAACTGATGACAATTTTAATGGATGTTTGTTGAACTAGCTGATAGTTTGACATATTAGTGGTACACTGCAATTAGAAAAATGTACTTGTCCTAAAGTATAATAGTTAAAAGTGTTACGATTATATATCTAAAATTAATGTGTTCACCATCGCTTAGTCTATTCCTTCAACAGGTTTTTCAACACAATAGACATTCAAAATTGGCAACCAAGTTGTTTTAAACATGAATTGCACAATGCACTTGTCTTTTACACAAAGCAATATATAAAATTGTCAATTTTTTCAGTTCTTTCAACTATAAACTCTTTCTAACTTAGGTCTGTCAACATAACATAGGTTAAATCACTGCCAAATATTACCATTTATTACTGTTTAGGAAATGTGGCTTACGGCATAATTATTAATTTGTTTAGTAATGTTTGTGTATAACATATTTTATTTTGCCACTGTTTGTTTTACCCAAATAAATAGAAAAAAAAAAAATGTACAAAATAAAATAGAAAAAAAAATTAATACCTTTGAAGGAATCCCTGGGTCATAATCTCTGAATCTGTCAATTTTCTTGATATTATCTAAAGACATTTTAGTTCCCTCCAATAATTGTGCTTCTGCTGAATTAACTGGCATTACAATGTCCACAGTTTTAACCTCACCTTGATCATTCAAAGGTTCCAATCTTACTATCTTATTGTCTTTAATAGTATACATTGTTTGTTTTTTAGGACCTATCAGACAGACATTTTTCCTATATTTATGCAAAGGTGTTTGCGTTTCTGTAGTTTTAGGAGGCATTACCCTCACATCCCATAGACTTCCACTTCTGTTTACTGTAGGTTGGCTATCTAGATCAATTGTACTAGGTATTGGAAAAGCATTTGCCAATATTCTCTCCTTCTTCCTCTCTAAACGCCTCAATATTTTTCTTCGCTTTGTTATTGATAGACGATCATCTTTTAAATGTCCAAATAAATTTTCTTCTAGCTCTTTTATGTTATGCATAGGATGTCCTTCAGGATAAAATGTAATAGACCTATTACTTTCCCCTAATTGACTGTTATGGGTAATGCTCTCATCACTTTGTTCTGAACTGTAAACAGATCAAATAATAACTTACCTAAATTAATTTCACATAAATTTTAATGCAGTCACTAGTGAGTGATAAAAAATGACGCTAAATCACAGAACAGAGCTTCTGTAAGATTATTAACCCCAAAATACTACTGGATACAATAGTCCACAGTGGTCAATTACACAGAATACTGGTGAACCAGTTTAGGGACAACAAAAGCTATGACTCTGGCACATAGTTTTTTACATCCAATTATCAGCGAGTTGCACAAATGTTCATTAAGATTTTTATTAGATAAAAGCAACATAACCCATACAAATTTGACATTCATTTGACATTCTTAATGGATGTTTGTGCAACTGACCGAAAATCAAATAAAAAAAGATATGATAACATGTCAAAAATTTCAAAGTTGTGCCTTTCCTATACATTAAACAACATAACACTGCAATTAAAAGTTATTACTTGCCTCCCAGTATCATCTTGGAATTTATAGATTTTATTTTTAATGCATTCAAGTTTAGATTTTAACACACTTGATTCTATTTTACAATGACAGTCGGACAAACCAGGCTTATTGCCATTAAATAAAAGTATTTCTTCATCAGTTAAGCCCACTTTTTTTAACCATTCTTGTTGCCTTAACTGGTTTTCGGAATTGCTAAATTCTTCAGCGGTAGTTAAACCATAGGATGATAAAGGTAATATCTCTGTTGCCTTTTCAAAATATTTCGGTAACGTATGGGAACTGGAATGTAAAGAAAAATTCAGATAAATACCATAACCACACATAATTAAACAAATAAAAAGAATCGCTTTGTGTTCGACATATGGTGAAAATAGGTATCGATCCATATTTTTGTTCAGTCATTGTTTTAAAAATAAATGTATTATGAACAGATATGAATAATACACTCTCCAGCAATCATTATTATTGATTCGTCACTCATTTTTAAAGTGACAGAGTCTTCTTTCTGCGATCAAAAAGCAATATCATGAAGAAAAAACAAATTGTAATATAATTACCACATTATTACTTTATACACAGAAATTTTTCTAAAATTTGGAAGTTAACAAGAGAAAGATTTTAATTTTTACATAAATTTAAAATTACACGCATTGTTCTTTTTAATTCATGGCACAGACCAACGTAGAGTATTATTGTTCTGTGCAGACCAATAAGAGTAATTCATGGCCTATTTGTATCACAGACTTAGTAGGTATATTTGTATTTACACAATTCCTCCAATGTCACGTTTGTGGTCTTTACATGTAAACAAACAATAATTAAATATATCAATTTTGAATTTTGGGGAAATAGATAAAACGATACAAAAAAACTGAGCGCGTCTATCTGATTACATTGTTAAAGATAATACAAATAGAATGTATAAGTATAGAAAAACGATATTTATAAATCAAGACTACTGTTGACTGCTAGGAATTTAGATACAATTTGAATGGGCTGGGTTTCTCCATACGGCCCATCCACCTTAACTATCCATAAGGAAGGCCTGAGCCCATGCAGTGGGGACGTAAAAGGGCTGGTGGTGGTGGTGATGAGATTTGACGCAGTGTTGCAAATTAATTTGAATCGGATTCGGATTTTTACAGAATCACAGGGCTGATCGTATTATTTTTAAGGATGGGTAGTTTTTGATCAATGAAACGTGAGATCTTTCACCGTAAACTAGTCTAAAAACGGTTTTTTTTTCGATTAGTGGTTAATGTCGTAGACGAACTGTACGGAACAAGAAATTGTGTCGTATTATGTAAGTAGTTTAGTTGACGTAGTTCATGTTTAGACAACATTGTTGTCATCGACCCGACAACGGTTCAGTAAATTTGTGGAAGGTGATAGTAAATTACTCATGTCACCCAAATAAATGAAAACTTGGCAGATTCATTTCATTTGTCATGTAAAAATTTATTTATTTACTTGACATTGGCAGAATTGTGCGAAATGCACAGATAAGCCATTAATTAAAAAAAGAATTTTCTTCTTTTTTTTCTTCTTGGCAATGAATCATAGACATTCTATGCAATGAATACAAGCTCTTATAATAATACCAAAGAGTACAGTAATAATGCGGAGAAATAATACTCTATGGATTATTTAGTACTAGTTTATAGTGATCTCAGTAGTCTTGCGCATTATAGGTCGCGATTGGGAGCGGTCATTTAAGTTCGCAGCTCTTTAACGAACTAGTTCGATCTTTAAGGGTATGTTCCGATATACACTGCGAGCACTGCGCAGTGGTCTTACTGCTGAAAAATCCGTTCCGTTATGGACTGCCAGTACACTGCTACAGTACCCTAGGGAAATTTATGACGTCATTAATTGCCGCCATATTTGTACTGTGAGCACTGGAGATTTCGAGGTAAGGTGCTCGCAGTGCTTTTGATCACGTGATCAGTCGAAACAGAATCAGAAAATGATAAGTTTCTAAATAAACAAAAAAAAAATACTTACGTTTATTTATAAGATGGATTTAATTGATAAATAATTTTTTTATACAATTTTCCAATTTTCTTTTGAAAAGAGGGAATCTTTATATTTATATTCACCTTGCATTAACAAATTTGAAAATGGCGCCAAAAAATAGGATTAACAGTATACTGGACTGCGTTCCGTTTTAAAAAGTACCAGTATAACTAGCTATAAAGGAACGGGCTTCCAGTATACTAAATTGACGTCATACTGTTCAGTGGTCGCAGTGTATATCGGAACATACCCTTAGTTCGTTAGTTCACTACTTCAAGTCACGAAAGACCTACTATTTGTTGTCTGGTTCGCTTGCGTTGATCAACAATTTACTTAGGTAAAATTAATGACAGTACCAGTTTGTAATTAATCATCTTTTAATCTCTAGAATTAGTAATCTAGTACTCACTTTAACATAAATTGAGACCTTCTTTTCTCATAAAAAAAATATCAGTCTTTTAACCTGTTAACAATAAAATTTAAAATACGAGTATCGCCACCAACCCGCCACGCGCCGCTCAACGGTGAACAGTACAGGGGCTCTATTTTTGAATCATTCGTCTCGCGTCGAGCGCTCGTTTTCTACTATCACTCGCATACAACGTTCGCTAAGCGACGAGTGGTTCATACCATTCGTTGCAGTCGAGCGATTTAGAAATGGCGAATTTGTTAAGTCGAACGAAAATCAGTAGAAAACGAGCGCTCGACGCGAGACGAATGATTCAAAAATAGAGCCCCAGTAGAGCCGCACAGAGCGCCGTCGAACGAACGAACTGGAACGAACTAAGGAGCGACGGGTCTGCGAACTAGTTCTCGCAGTTCGTCCATAAGATCGCTCTTCCGAACTAGGTCGTTCGCGAACTACACAAGACTAGATCTCAGATCACTGATCTGTGATTTAGTAAAACAAACAAAGAATTACTCCAAATTACTCTTATTTTTTATTACAAAACACGGGTACAAAAAATAAAAATCCACAAAGGTAACGCTATTAATTAAAAATAAGAAGATATTAAATAAGAACAAGAACTAAACCTTAAAAATGTAAATAGTGATATAAACAATCTGATAGTGATTTAAGGACAGTTTACAAAATTTAGTAAACTTATCATGAATTCCTGGGGTAACGAATATGGGGTGCGGAATCAGTTTAATATGCCGTCTACGACACCAATCTTGCCAAATATGGTATCACCACTTGTTCCACCAATGAGTATGATATCAGAAATTGCACAGTTTAACCAAAATCCTCCTTCAGAGATAGTAATCGGACCCGTTATATCTGACACTACCAGTAACAATTCTAACGACGTCCAAATTGTGGAAGACACTCTAGAAGAAAAGAGAGCACAATCAATAGAAGATTCTCCTGAATCAGGAAGAAATCACAGATCAAGATATAGCAGAAGAGATCGTTATAGAGGTATTGATTAAAATAAGCTATAAACAGAATTTTAATTGATATAATAACTGGTTTACATACATTGATTTTATAGTTTTTTAATAAATGCCTTTTAGTTAATTATGAGTTCAAACATAGTTTAGTTATGTAGTGCACTCAAGATTTACAATCAATCACACAAAGAAGTCACAAATTCTGTGTTTAGATTTGGCAAAGTTTTTATGAGGCTCTCAGATGTCAAAGTCAAAGTCAAAGTCAAAATAATCTTTATTCAAATAAATTGTGCGAAACGCGCAGATAAGCCATTAATTAAAGAAGAGGAAGAAGAAGACTTCTTAGATGTAATTTTAAAATGTCATATTGAACCCATAGCAATATGCATAGGTGACCTACAGACATACAGGCACATCCAGCTAAACATTTTCTTCTATATAATGCACAATTGGTACTTGTTTTGTCAAATAATTTAATGTTTGGTCCATTGTCGAATTCGAAGAGAAAACAAAGTTCTTTTATATGTTGCAAACGATGTTGATAAATATATTTTAAATCAAATAAAAAGCAAATCTGATATTTTTTATTACTAATTTATTTAATTTTTTGGCACTAAAATTAGTCTAAAATTTTCTTGTGCCCCAAAAAAAGCTCAATTATTTATTTTCGCCCCAAATTTGGGGCTAAAAGCCGTAAGTTGGTAAGCCTGCCGACAATAAAAAAACAACACTGTCATAGTTTTTCGCAAGATGTTTTCAATACAATCAATGTTCTAATTTTATAGTTTTTTACATTTAGGTAGGTTTGTAAATTATTAAATTGAGTTTGTTTAATTATGATTACCTTTTTGAAATACATAAATATATAGTCGAATGACATTAGAAGTAACTTTTTATAATTACCCTTTTGATATAACTCTTTGTCGAAAAGATAAATTCAACACTTTGTTATTTATGAAGTATTAATTTATGAGTATGAAGTTTTTGTAGCCGCTTTATCACTACATAGTATAAAACAAAGTCGCTTTTTCTGGCCCTATATTCCTATGTATGCTTAAATCTTTAAAACAAAAGCAACGGATTTTGATGCGATTTTTTTTCATAGATCCCTATCTATCTGATTCAAAAGTTAGTATGGAAGTTTTTATGTATAATAAAAGACCAACAGGCGAAGCTGCTGATAGTTTCGTATATATTATGGTTACAGACTATGCCTTCAATGAAACAAGAGTTTTCACTGCAGGAAAACCACATTATGGAAGTTTTGAGGGTTAACAACAGAGATGATGAAGATAGCGTGGTGCTCAATGAACAGGCCAAATTTTCTTAGCACAAAATATACATGCGTGTATGTCGACTTGTTTGATACTGATTTGATTTGATGTTTGACTCCTGTAAATATATTCCTTGCAGTGGCAGGCTTCGAAAAGATAATAGATGACATTGTTATATATACATGAATCCTTATATTAACAAAACAAAAAGCTCATCTTTAACTATGTCCAATGAAGAAGCCAAAGCATTTCTTGGCATGAATAGACACCAGTAGAAAGAAGCTATTGTTAATTTGTACTTGATTCAATTCAACATACCCACATCTTTATTTTGTGCTAATAACTTTGGTCTTCTTCATCAAGCACCAAACTATATTCATTGTCGCTTGTCAGCTATCAAAATTTATATTGCTTTCACTCGGCAAAAACTCTCGTTGCATTATTATTTTTTAAATAGATAACAGTAAAAGTGTTTTTGGTCTTCCTGCTTTCGTATATTATAAAATTCATAAAACTTTAATGTCTGTAAAATAAGGTCTAAATTTTAATTGATGATATAGTAATAAAAAAATATTTTTTCTTCTTAACTATATTATACTTCTTCACGCTTTGACGTGTAGTGAGGAGAGTGTGTTCTCACTATTCCCTTTTGTGCACCTTGGCATAGTCGCCGATTCTAAAATGGTTCCTATTTGTGTGTGTACATGTACTTACGGTTAGTTGCACAAACATCCATCAAGGGTTAATGACGTCTTCAAGCTGTAATGTATGTCAAATTTGTATCTGTAATGTGGCTTTAAACTAATGACAATTTTACTGACTAGTTATCTAATTAATTGAGTATGTAGACCAGCCATAATACAATTATCATATTTCACAGATCGTTCACGACGACGGTCGAGGTCTCGTGATAGGTATTCTAGAAGGGATAGGAGCAAAAGCAGAAGTCGTGATCGTAGCAATAGACATAGCTCAAGAAATGAGAGGAAACATGATAGATCATCAAAGTGGGAGAAAAATGATGACAATCAAGTAATTGCTATGAATAACTTACAAATGATGACAGGTATGATTAAAGGTTTATATTATGATAACAATATTTGTAGCAAAAGACAGTAATAAGATAACAGAAAAAAATGTTTGGTTGAAACATTCATAAAATTAGAATATTTGTTGTTGAATGTTACTTTTTACTAATAATAATCAACAAATAAAATGATAATTTTACAATATTTGTAGCTATGTCTTGTCGTGTTAGCTAACAGGGTGACCGTTTTAAAAATGGTAAATCTGCCCGAAGTTACCTAAAAATCTGCCAATCCATCTCCAGAAAGTGTCAAAAATGTGCCATCGTAGTATTACGTCCTTAGAGTAGGTACAAGGCTACACATAAGAGTAGGAAACCAAATATTGAGGAACTAAAATTATTATTTAAAAATAAATAAAATATTAAGGATTCAAAGATATTATTACCAGTGGTCGGAATTAGGTAGAGTTATTCATGTACTTACACTGATTTCATACAGCGAAAGAATAAAGTGGATATGCCTCAAATCCCGAGATTAATTTTAAAAAGTAGAAAAAATCCCGTGATTTTTTAAATAAAAAGTTATTTACTAAAAAAGTTATTTTAGGTAGTAAATAAAAAGCTACTTTTACACAATTTAAACTACTGCACGCATGACGTTGTCAAACTTACATCAATGAAAGAAAGAAATAAAGAAATCCCGGGAAGGTCCACATTAATATCAACATTTCGATGCAAGTACATAAATAACTCTACCTAATTCCGACCTCTGATTATTACTTTATTAATTACAATTATTCAATTTATTTATATCAAAATTTGCTTCATACATTTTGTTTTTTCATTTTTATTTGTTTATCCATTTTAGTCCTTAAAATGGATAAACAACCATCATTTCTTGGATTGGTTTAAAAAAGGCACAGTCTACGCACTTGTTTATGTCTATGTGAAAAGTAATGTGGACACATGTTTGTTCAGGAATCTGTTGATGAGGCATTAGACATTTGTAAACCTAATAGGGCTATTTCAAAATTCACAATATTGAGGTATTTTGGACATCCATTGGCTTTTTTTTTAATTTGAATATGCATCCATATGCTAAATTAAAATACTGATGAAAGTTGTGCAAATCCAAACTATGATTTTATATGATATTGTTTTTGTTTAGGTATGATGCCAGTGATGATGAATCATAATATGATGACCCTCAATATGATGGGGCAACAACAGCCAATTGACATAGGTAATATGCCTAATAGGAATCTGATGCCAATGATGCCTGATATGAATATGATTCCAAACATCATGGAGTCCAACATGATGATGAGTCAACAAATGAGAAACCAGCCAGTGGTCTTTTCTACTGGAGTACTGTTACCGCCTATACCTGGCATATCATTACCAAATAGAAGAGAGAAACCCCTCGGTTGTCGTAGTATATTTGTTGGTGGATTGCCTAATGGGATCAGTGAAAATAATATCACTGAAATATTTCAAAGATTCGGCCTCATCAACAATGTTAAATTGCATCGGCAGGGAGTATGCCACGTGCGGTTCAATAATCACCAGAGCGTGGAGCAGTCTTTCTTACTGTCAGGATACAGGTTCAAACTTCATGAGCAAACTGAAAAAGAAGCTACTACAATTTTCGTCGATTATGCATTGGTAATTATCACATTTTAATTTCTGTACAGCATGCGTTTTTCCGTAAAAAATATGAATATAATTTTAGAATTATTGTTAGTTATGGGATTGCTACCATGCATTATAAGTATTTATCGAGTTCTCGATGTTTGGGCGTGGTTTGCTTGCGCCCTGATCACGGTACTGTATATGGTAACAATTATTGTAAATCTAATGACCACGAAAGTTTAAAACAACATATAACGAATATAATGTTTTAGAATCGCGATGACCAAGATGAGTATGAGAAAAATAAATACCGACGTCGTCCCACACCTCCACGTATTGAACCATTTACTCCGGCGAGCCTTAACAAAATAACAGAAAAGATTAAAAACGACGAGGATTTCTATGAAGTTGCGCCTGTAAGATTTTTTTAATATAATTTTGTTACCTGTTAAAATGTAAAAACATTTTTTTCACATAAATGAGACTAACAGTTTTATTATGCTATGTTATTAATATTTCTTTATCATCCAATTTAAAATAACGGAAAATTCTAATCTACATTGTTATATATTTCTTTTGTTTTATAATTTATAGTGATATAACAAAATAATGATATTTAATAAATAATAATGAATTAAACACTCTTCCAGACATTACTTTGGTGGCTGGATCATGGAGAATGTACTAAAAAGTATGCGAACACATTTTACTCCTTAATACAAGCTGCAAATAATCAAGTACGCAGATTGTTTAATGACAAGATGCAAGTGGATGAAGAGTTTCACACTGTGAAGAATACAGTAAAAGAAAAATATTTGAATATCATTTCACAATGTAAGTAATATGTGAATTTAAGTTATTTATATTAGAATAGAAGGCAGTTGGTAGAACTTCAAATGAAATGCCAGTCAACTAAGTAAGGTACACTTTATTTTATTTATTTATTTAATGTACTTGAATTGTCCAGAAGCACATCTTTATATATAATTAACAGATTAATTTACTGTATTGTGATCACTAAGAACCACCCATTATTAAAGCATACAAGACAGATTTTCATTTACAAAGTTATGATTATCGAAGAAGTAATAAAGGAAATTAACACTTAACAATACTAATTGTGAAGGATATGATGGCATATATACAAAAGTATTAAGTTGTGTGTTAATGTGCTAAATATATATTAACTCAGTCATTCATTATACTGATAACGATCCTTTCAAAGGTATTTGAAAAGTGTCTGCTAAAAAGATTAACAAGCTTTCGTTTGAAATATAATGGCAAACGAGCAGTATGGTTTCCAAAAAAGGAAACTTACTATCCTAGCCATTTTCAGTGTATTAGCCACAGTGCTGTCAAAACAATAGCGTCCTGGTTACGGCATTGTTTTTCGATTTATCAAAAGCGTTCGATTTTGTGGTCCACCAGTTTCTTTACAAAAAAACATGAATCAATGGGAGACAGAGTCTTATCTAAGCGGTAGACAGCAAAAAGTAGTTATGAAAAAAATTAACAACAGAAATAGCTTTCATATAGTCCGATTTAAGACACAACTCTGTGGTCATCCCCCAGGGCAGCGTGCCCGATCCTATGCTGTTTCTATATGAATGACATAACACGGGTAATAAATTTTAAATGTTCTTTATACGCTGAAGACATATCGATAATTTTGACATCAAAAGATGATAAAAACCTTGACTCATTAAAAAATCACTCATCTGACGTGAATAATAATATTGACATGATAATTAATTGGCTAAAACATGTAATTACAATATTAACATTTGTGAGAGAGGTTAAAATCGATAAATTCTTCAGATCAGGTAAGGTGATATTTATTAATATCGAATTATATCCCAGAGAGGTGTTCGCCAAGGCTAGAGATTATCTTCAATTACGAGTTCAAGGTTAGTTATTTCTTTCCATTACGGTGAAAATTACCTGCAGTAGGCGACATATTACGAGATACGCTAAGTGGAGTGGAGTAAAGAAGAAGTACAAGTTCTCACTCGGTATGTGCATTTTGAACTCTACCCAAAATGTTTTAAAGGTTGACTGTACGTACATACACCAGGACATAAACTTCTATACTCCGTTTATTATTACATTAGAAAAAAGAGGATAACAGAAGCAGCAGTACAGAACATTTTATTCTCAAGATAAATTTAAATATATATAATAGTTTTGTTGAAGCTTTAAACGTTGGGTAGTCTGAACAGTTGGGCAATTTCCCATTTTCTCGAGGCTGAGATTCGGCTAGCATTTTTTAAGTTCACTTTTTACTCCCAAGCCAACATGGAACTATATCTATCTGTTGTTTTGATAAATTCTAATTGTAAGTGTATATAATTAGAATAGAATTTAGTTATATCTATGCCCAGGAAAGAAAGGTAATCAAAATGAAATTTTTATTATTACTTTTATAACAGTTATTCAGATATTATTAGACTATTGATAAAGACATTAGAAAAACTTCTTGAAATGTCAAAGTTAATTGTTGGAGGCCACTCGGGCCTGCACCGGAATATATGTTTATCAAAAATTTACAACAAAAACAAAACTATAAGAAAACAATAATAAAATAATAACAACTCAATCACGGAAAACGGCAAAACAACAAGAAACGCAGTAGCATTCAAAATGAATAACAATCCCAGATTTCGTACGTATTTTGACTATTGTGAATAGATCATAATCTGGCAAAATTAAAAAGCTATACTGCCGAAAACAACGTTTTAAAAGATAACGTTTAAGTATTGCAGCCGGTATTTAAGTGGACATGTAGCAAATTAGCCGTTAGTCTTAAGAGTTCCTCTTAAATAGAGATCCTCTTAAATACAATCATATTTGATTGTTGATATTTTGTCACAAAGTATACCATAAAAAGAACCTTATTTCACTTCTGTCTAATGCCTATAATCAATGGAGTATAGTATCTTAGATATAAGGACGCCATAAATGCGAGCCTCTACACCATGCAGGCCGTCAACCAACTATAATACCTAAGGTAAGAATACTAGAAAAATAGTCCATAAGTGGAAACGGTTAATTGAAGAATCGGAAGTATTTAACTTAAATTGTTTACGGCTGACGCTTATAAGATGATTGAGTGAAAATGCCTATTTTCATTCATACAAGATTTTTAGCAGAATGTTTCAAACAGTTAACAAGTCTCGGTTATGATTAGACCATGGCGTATCATTGCAACAAATATAAATGCTGCATTGATGATATACTTTTTTAATTTCTAAACAAAATTGATAATATTGTCTAAAAATTATTATTAAAATTATCTAACATGAAAGTTATGAAAATTAGCTTGATGTTAAGATCGAATGTTTGTTTAAAAATTGTTTACATATGATTGTAAACATTTTAATAGCAGTGTGCGAACTCTATATTTCGGAGATTTGCTGAAATATATGCTGTTTGGGTGCCTAGAGGACGCGAAGAGTAATTTAAACATATATTCTTATTTTATTTATCTCCAATCACATAACAAAAAATATCATATCATTATCACCGCGCGTGCGCAACGAAGATTGCCACGATTCAGACTTATCATTTTACTTTTTAGTTAGATGCTATTTTTATTTTTTACAATATCCGAGACTTCACGACCACAAAGGATATAGTATTTTTATATACCTACGTTAAATATATAATTTTTAAATCTCATAAAATATGTCTAGTGCAGGATAGCTTTATTTGTTTTCTGCTAATAATCGTTGTAATGCGTGTGTAAATTATTATTATCTGAACAACAGTCGAGCAGGTCGCAAAGATTCTGACTGCGGCGAAACATCAGCGTGTGTCCGATCTCTTGACGAAACAGCAGCGACGCAACATAGACATGTGGGTGAAAATGACTGAGGTATGTACTTCCTGACATATTATGTGGACATACCTATCATTTGGAGTCGTTTCTACAATTCCAAAATATGAGCAACTATCTGTTTTCCGGTGACTTTGCTTGCTTAAATTTCATCCGCATATAATGTGGCTTCCCGTTTGTGAAAGAATGTTCATGATCCGTTTAGTATTCCCGTAGATTACCCCCCTTCAAACTTAAATTAGTTATATCATTACTATAGTTTAGATATGAGAGTAAGTATTAATCTAGTTCTGGATATTTCTTCACACAGTTCTTGTATTGATTCCAATAATTTATTTTAAAGATTTCTGAAATTTAACGTGACGTGGATATATTACAATGTGTTGCGATTTTTGTCAAGTCTTCAACACAATATTTAACTGATATTTCTTTATTTAAATTAACTTAATCTCTAAACGATAAACGTATAATCAATGCTTATTTTTATAAAAGAAATAAATCGCTGCTTCAAAAATCATAAGATTCTTGTTTGTAAAATAAAGCAATTTGTAACATTTATCAAATTGATCAGAAAATTTTCAAATGTATGACTAGTCCTGAAAAAGAATCCATGACAGCTTTACAATAATCGCTTTGATAAGGTATGCCCACTGAGAATGCTTTGATATATTATATTTTTATAAAATCAAACATTAGCGCATAAGTTTCCATAATTATTAGATTTTATATCCGATGAATATGTACGAGGTTATGAAATCGATAAGTACCCTTAGTTTATGGCCATGGCAAATGACCAGGGGACCTAACGTCTTATCACAAAGCTGTTAGCTTTAAGGAGCTTTAAATTAGCCTTGTTGTGTAATAAAAGCTGAGTACAATGTATCGTAATGACGTCATAAAATAGCTCTAGCTAAAGCAATGACGATGGGCGGTAGACCCCTGTGAAGTAGGATTGCCAAGGTTTGTAGACGGCACTGCGGTATTGAAGTGGAGGAAGGGTTGCGTGGGTCTCGTCACACTATCATCATGGAGGTAGTTCAAGACTCAAGTGTTGTCGACCAGGTAATTTAATCATATCTTGGCCTTAATGTTGCTCTGTCCGTAAACTTTGGGAGTTGTTATGAATATTCGCTGTTGTTTGATTGCATACAATGACAGATATACATACAAGCCTATTGACATTCGTAGATAACTCCTTTTTCTCTGCTTTGTCTAATTGAAATGACTTACGCGCAAGTTTCATAAAATAAATTTAAGGGATTGCTTATATGTTATCTGTCTCATATAACAAATGCAGGATAGTGGTATGCTGGGTTTGTAAATGCTCATATTTGAAATATCGTATAAAAAACAGCTCATTAAGCAAACGAGAAGATCCATGGAGAAGATTAACAAGCGGCAGTCCGGAGAATATACTCCAATGATAAGGTTTGAATTGTACGATCTGTCATATCACGAGTGCAAATTCTACATCGGATTCTCGCTTCGTTCCTGTATCCTGTCTGCGGCGGTCTTCAAACGATCATCGTGGCTGGATAAATATCTCTACATCTTCGAGTTCGTACCAGTCTACATTATTGCACTGCTTAACAAAAACGAAATGGTAAGAGTTGCGTAGAGTGGACTAACTAGATTGCTGATTAATAGTTTCGATGCTTCGGCACTGCAAATAAATCTAGCCGATTTAATGCAGACAGGTAAAATCTTGTAATAGGTTGAGTTTATTTGCGCCTATTTTACAGTGGTCGGGTGTCACAGGTCTTCGAATGTAGAATTTGTACTTCAAATCATCACTCTTGGTGAGGATTCGTTAAATTTTCTGATATGAAAAGCCTTTATTTGGCAATAATATAGAGGTTTAATCATTTGACAGATTGTACCTTCAGCAACACCTCAGGTTATAAAAAAAAATTCAATTTGACCTACTTTTTTGAACTTTACCTACAGTTTTTAATGCGTTAGATAATTTAAGTTCAAAGTCTGTACAAATTTTGTTTGGTAACTTGATGTACTGCTGCGTATACTTTTTAATAAGAGATATGATTTTGCTAACTGCTAATATTTGGTTGGAGTGCCAACTTGATTTTGAGAAATATCAGTTTTATTAGCCAAAGTATCTTAGAGTTCATGGTTGACTGCAGGCCGTCTTAAACACAACAGGCACCCGGGTACAAGTAGTGGTCTGGCGCCCCTAGCCCATTTATTACACATATTTATATTAGACCACCATTGGCGCGGCGCCGCACCATGGGTAAAGATGGGCCTGGTCGATTGATCTTAAAGCAAGGTGTTTTGCAAGATGGGACATATAAAACATAATCTAAAATAGACATTTAATTTTCCTCAATAATCTTAAAAGGGAAAAATACCCTTTCCAAACTCACGATGAACCCTCATTCATTATTATGTAAAAACATTGAATTATTTTATTCTAATAATATACTGTTTGCAGGAGGTCGATAATATAAAGGAAGAATATGATCTCTACTTCGAAGATGAAGAAATCGAAAAAGTTGGCAACAACGTTGTACCTTTAGAGAAGTACGAAGCGTTAAAGGTAAAACTATAGAAACTGGTACAATAATAAACCAAAAAATGTTGAATATTGAAAAAGAAGTGGCTATTACCATTTCTAATTTACATCTTGTCATTTGCTATATCATATTTTTTTCATTGTTTTTGTTATTGATATTTTTTTTAGAAAGAGAACGAAAATTTGATTTTCGAATTGGAAGGGTACAAGAATGAAGCGCATCTCGCTAAAGATGAGGCTGAGAGAAAGTTCGAGAAGTTCAAAGCGCACTTCATCGCTCAGCAAGCCCTTCAGAATCCGAAACAGGTATTAATTTTTGGCTCACAGACTAAGACGGCTAACGCGTTTAAGTTTGCCACTAGAGGCGTTAGTGGAGAGCGAGGTTTTCAAAATGTCAAATAGCATAATTTGTCTGTGAGCTACTCGCGTTTTTTTTCAAACAAACGAAATCGGTGCTTAGATTTAGGGTTTCCCGAGATTTATTACAGCATTTATGAATTAGGGGTCAATGAATGTCACTGCTATAAAAACGTAGCTAAGAAAAAGAGATGAAAAATTAAGTCGGTTGAATTAACAGATAATTCAGAGGTTTGTGTTCACTGATTATGCTCGATATTCTTTATACATTGATTCGTAGAAACAAAACTTTGATAAGACCTCTCGCGATTATCGCACCATCTGGTGAGCAACAAAAAAACGGTGGCACACAATTGTTTTGTTGAATCTCGTGCTAGCGTTCTATCTCAATACAAAGATAGTTTACTTTTTATCTGGAAGTCATTTCGGTCAAAAGTATTTATTTCATTCCGTAGGTGTATCCGCCGCTCCCGCCACCGCCAATGCCGCCAATCATCGAATCTATCAACGTACCGAAACCTGAGCCTCCTCCTCCAACGCCAGATGACATAAAACTATCGTACTCTGATGCCAAACTCATCAGTGTGCTAACAGCCTTCCTGTTAGTGCATCCTCTGGGCGCAACGTTGGATTATATAGTGTCATATGTGAGGTCTATGATACCAGGAGTCACTCATGACGCAGTGAATTCAGTTTTGCAAAATTATACTGATATCTTTCGGCGGAAGACTACCGGTGTTGGCTCTAATATTGAACACAAGTGGGAATACGTTACATTCGACGCTATCAAAATGAGCGTATAATTAATGATTGCTATTGTATTATGAATTTCGTATTTTTAATAAGAATATATTTTTATAAAATGGTCTAATTATACCTTCGTGCACACTGGTGTTTTAATTATGAAGAGCAAATATACTGATCTGTGAACTATACAAATATTTATTTGATCAATTTTGCATTCAAAATGTTATACTGTATTTTGCAAGACGAGGCGTATAAAACATAATCTAAAATAGACTTTTAATTTTCCTTGAATCTTAAAAGGAAAATATACCCTTTCCAAACTCACGATGACCCTCATAATTCTGTTTCTTGTACTATTTTCTGGATCTCGTCATTTATTATTAGCGATGGGTCGTTATCCATTTTTCAAATCACGTAACGCAATCGCTATCAGATCGCTAATCACCGATATCAAAACTGTCTATTTTTGATAACTAGTTATTTCTACAACGCTAAAGTCAAACCGAATTTTACTCTTATGCTAACGTGATAAAGCTCAATTTTGGGTTGGTTATTTGATCACTCCGAAACCCGAATAACGTGAGCGAACTAGCGTATACCTATTTCATTCACACGTATACTGATATCCTGTTTTTATTTCATTCAAACATGACAGATTGCATTGTTTGCGATCCACATTATTTAAACGCTCTACATTAGGCGTTACATTCTATACGGTTATTAAAATTGTACTACATGACCGTCAATGTAAAGCGTTAATATATAAAGATGTCTACGTATCGCTGCGATCTGTGATCGCTGCTTCTTGGTGATCGATGCTACCTTGAAGCGAGGCAACCGACAATCAACGTAATGTCGTTTACATAAGAGTGAATTCGGTCTAACCTTAGAACGTTATGGATAATAGACAGTTATTGTAAACCTGTGATCGCTGTTTCTTGGTGATCGTCAAATCAAAGATCGACTTTATGCTGTTGACATACGAATGAATTTGGTTTAATTTTAGAACGTTATGGAAAATAGATAGTTATTGTATAACTGAATCACGAGTGATCGCGGTTCAGGCAGATCACTAGTTGAATAACTGTCTATCGCGAATAACGTCCATCGCTATTCATTATTATGTAATACTGAAAAATAGTCTCAATGAAAGATGCGTAGTGTTTAGAGCAGTCGCCCAGATTTGAGTTCCATTTCAGAGTACCTGGGGCAAGTCGATCTTTTAAGATTTTTTTTAGTATGAATATTTTTCGGTATAACATTGGGAATGCAAAATTGATCAAATATAATAAATTAGAACAAATTTTCATCTTAATCGAAAGTTTAAAATATTTCTTTCGGCTGTTTATGAAGATTGCCTGAACATTGCGAAAAGTAAGAAGCGCTTGAAAAATTCGTCAGTTCTGTTAGGTCTTGGGTAGCTCAGTGATTAAAGCAGTCGCCCGGGTTACGAAAGGTTGTGGGTTCGTGTCCCATCTTTCTTCATTAAGATCTCCATCGTTTTTCATTAAGAGTATTTTTAATAATTTTTTATAAGGGGCTAAAACAAATCCATATGATATAGTTTTACCCACTAAAGTAAATAGAAACATTCTTAAAAACGAGTCAATATGGTTCTACATTACACTAAAAGCTGCCAGAAGGCTTAACATTTTTTCTACTTCGATTGCGAAAAAATTAGAATAGAATAGAAAATTCTTTATTGTTAACATTACACAAGTTATATATACAAATTTAAAACAGTTTAACAAAATAATGTAACAATTGGCAGCCTTATCGCTTAAAGCGATTTCTTCCAGGCAACCATAGGATGGAGAGAGAGAGAGAGAGATAACAATTTATGAAGACGGGGGTGTAAATGTTATCAATAACATTAAAAAGAAAATATGATCAAATAATCTTAATTAAAAAATAGACAACAAAATATGTAGTGAATCCATGCATAATACAAATATATACGTAATACGCAATATACATACACACATCCATACATAAACTTACATATACATACATATATATTATGCAATACCAGGAATAGTTTTAGTCGGCAGTAGCAGGATATTTCATTGTGAAAGGTAGAATTCCTTTACGCTATTTTTAAAAATTTACAGAGATTTTGCTCGCCTTATAGAAACTGGAAGGAAATTCCAGAGACGAGTTTGACAGTAAAAGAAGAATCGTAAAAAGAAGTACAGTGAGATGGAATCTCAAGACTCAGGCTCTCGGATGATCGCAATGTGTAAGAATTTGTGCAGTGCAGAAACTTTCTTTGAGATAATGAGGGCAAGTGAGATTGAACAAAATATTGTAGAGAAGATAACATACGAGAATTCCGGCGAAGTCGTATGGGAAGCCACTTGAGTTTACAGCGATAGTTAGAATATGAACCCAATACAAAAGTTTTGAAGACGCTCAAGTTTATTTAGCTGGTCCTCCGAAAGATCAAGGTAGCAAGCGTCAGCGTAATCTAGAACACGAAGCAGCAGAGATTGCGCTAACGCAACCTTAGTGGTAGTGGGCAAGAAGTTACGCAGCCTTCTCAATGAAGCGGCAGAAGCATATAACTTGCGACTGATAGATTGAAGTTGTGGACCCCAACCCTTTCGGAAGTACCTGCGTATCAATTCTGGAAAGTAATCTAGAGCTACCTACTATCATGGTTTGGGTTTATGCAGAATTGACGCTTAGACCAAAAGCTCTACTCCATTCTGCAATGAGTTGGAGGTTAAAGTTAGTATTTATTATTGCCTCATTTAATCTAGACAGCGGTGCTTTGCAGTAAATTTGGAGATCGTCTGCATAAAGGTGATAGGAACACGAAAGATTATGAGAAATTGAATTAATAAAGATTGCAAACAAAAAAGGAGATAATACGCCACCTTGGGGTACGCCAGCTTTCAAGTCACACCACGAAGAGAAATTCTCATTAAGGCGGACCCGTTGCCTGCGCCCATACAGATAACTGTGAAACCAGTCAATTACCGTTTAAGTAAGTGCACCAAGGCAAGAAGTACATCGAAATCGACCGTATTAAATGCGTTGCTGAAGTCCAATACTGTAAGAACTGTCAGATGGCCATTTTCCATCGCAAGACGAATATCGTGAGTAATTTTCAAAAAGAGTAGTTGTTGTGCTATGGTCAGATCGGAAACCGGACCGGAGAGGATTCATTAGGTTGTGCTTAGCAATATATATACTAAATTGTTGATGGACAAGACGCTCCAAAACTTTAGATAGGAAAGGAAGAATAGATATAGGACGGTGTTCGTTAAGAAATTTGGGATTACTAATTTTGGGTAAAGGAATAATTTGAGCATTTGCGAGGGTATATGAATTATAATTGCCGAAAATACGGACAAGGCTTATATAAATTCTCCATATTGTTGAAAATACAACAATAAGGTCGACTACGTTTAAAAATGACATTGCTCGGCACATCGTATGTGCTCTATGATTTTTGATGTTGACAAAATGTTAACCGCATGGATTTAGTACTTATTACAGGCCAGAGTACTCACAGTTGAAAAGCGAGCCCACCAAGATATCAAGTACATACTGTCCTGTAAGAAAGATTATGATAAAGAATAATGTTATTTAAAGAAGAAATAATATCATTTATCATAACTGGACCTCAAACAATACAAAATATTAGTATTTATTACGTTGATAAAAACGCAATGCAGTACAAAAGTACTAATAAACATTTCCTTTCCTCCAATTAAATAAATAAACATTACATTTCTAATAAAAAAAAATAATGAAGTTTCTAAGTCCAATTTTACCGTCGTTTCGTAAAGAATTAAATGTAATTTCGTTTGTTGAAATATTTTTAAACCCTTTCGCAGTGACGACTGCATACGATACAACTGAATTTTCTGCTGACGTAATGTAACTATTGAGACATTTTTGTCGCATTTATTAACTTTTTGGACATCTGTATTGATACTTTGCTATGACCACACACATATCATCCACACATTAAATTACTTCATTGTAAACATAGTTGTCAGATTTTTTGTACATAGTTGTCAGAAAACAATAACAATGTTATTGTTTTTATCTTAATCGTGAAAAAACGTATTGCAACCACTACAAGATTCACTTGGACAAACATAAACGCAACACTTCACCATTTTTATTATTGGAATGTATAAAAAACTGTGACTTGTTCGATGCTTAGGCAAATGAATAAAAGGCTGTCTAAGCTTGAGAACTTAATTTAATTAATGGGAAACAAAATAATTGTAGGTATCAAACAAAGAAGGAATATAGAAACAGTTCGTACCGTTTTATTAAAATAGTTAAATCATATTGGGTTACTCAAAATTTCAAATCACGAAAAGTGAATAATTAAAATAAATGATGTTGAAGATCAAAGACAAAAAGTTTGCATGCGGAAACCTAGGACGAAATATATGGTGGTACGACTCACCGTTACAAAATTACTTACAAATAAAAAGTAGTCACCGCAATGACACTTCAAAGCGATACCAGTAGAAAATATGTCAACACAAAACCTTGAATAATTAGTACCATCTTTTTGTAATAATTTAATATTATCGAAATTAATTTGATTATATAATAACTTAAAATTTTAAAACAGAAACTATTAAAATATAAATGTTCCCATTAAGGTAATTTTAGTTTAATTTTTTGTATCTTTATAATATCAAGATGAAAGAACGAGACACATGGCCTCCGTTGTAACTATCTTTCTCGGTTTATATTAGATTATTATGTACAAAGAGCAATTAAAAGTATTCTTTAGGTTAATATTAATAAGGTTCATCTTTGTAATTTAAATTTTTCGGAAGTATAAGTCCTGTTATAAGCACCGTAAAATGAGGTAAATAGCGACAATTCCTAACTTTATGAACAATTTGAAGATAATTGTTGAAGGATATATTGCTATATCAGGATCAAAATGATTGAGTCTTGATGGTATCTTTGTAATCTTGTTTAAAACTATGCAATAAGGATTCCAGTTTAAGCTAAAAAGGCAAAAAGAGATGCTATCCCTATTTACCCAGAAATTGGGGTTAATGGGGACGAAAATAGAGTCAATAGAGAAATTTGCTAGGGCTGGCATTGGCTTTGAACTTGTACACGCGATGCATATCTGAAAATGGTAAATGTAC